CGGGTTCACGCCATTCTCCTGCCTCAGCCTCCCGAGTAGCTGGGACTACAGGCGCCCACCATGTCGCCCGGCTAGTTTTTTGTATTTTTTTAGTAGAGATGGGGTTTCAACATGTTAGTCAGGATGGTCTTGATCTCCTGACCTCGTGATCCGCCCATCTCGGCCTCCCAAAGTGCTGGGATTACAGGCTTGAGCCACCGCGCCAGGCCTATAGCTTTTTTTGAAGAGTTTTGCTTACATAAAACTACAGCAACTTGGAGGGTAAGTCCAGCCTTTTTAAAAATAAGAAACATGTCCCCTAATTACAAGACACCACAGAATATGCATAATCAGCAAATACTGACCTCAAGTCTGGAATAGTAATTTCTGATCTAAATGCATGCACTAAATTAATTAGTTCCACTGTTAAATAGCGCCATGGGGAATTCCTGATTCCAGAACAGCACAGCTGGCACTGATCAAGCTTAATGCAAGCCTGCTTTGTTTTTTGAGTTAGGTGGTACGATGTGTACTGGGTGCCCCAGCAGTCTCTGCCACCCCTACCTCTGTTATCCTGTCTCATCACAGTCCTCTCTGCTCGAGCTCTCGGAAGGAAAGGAAGAACAAGGTCGCTTCTAAAAGGATGACACCTGTACTGAGACCCTAAATATAAGAAAGAAAAACCTAGAAATGTGAACTTAAAATACAAGTAAACTCTTTAAAAATTTAATCACATAAAACCTCTTTCTGCATAAACTGAGTCAAGACATAAAGCAGACTACTAAACACCAGATTGAGAATCAGAAATCCTTTAATGAAATTATGCTGTCAATATACGACTCTATATTAATGCTTAGTTCCATTATCCATTCATACCAGACAGAATGAAGACCTAGAATAGGTCACTGTGATTCTCAATGGGGGGCCATTTTGCACGAGGGGACATCGGCAATGTCTTGAGACACTTTTTTTTTTTTTTTCCCGAGATGGAGTCTCGCTCTGTCACCCGGGCTGGAGTGCAGTGGCGTGATCTCAGCTTACTGCAAGCTCCGCCTCCCGGGTTCAAGTAATTCTCCTGCCTCAGCCTCCCAAGTAGCTGGGATTACAGGCATGAGCCACCACACCTGGCTAATTTTTTTGTATTTTTAGTAGAGATGGGGTTTCACCATATTGGCCAGGATGGTCTCAAACTCTTGACCTTGTGATCCGCCCGCCTCCGCCTGCCAAAGTGATGGCATTAGAGGCGTGAGCCACCGTGCCCGACTTGAGACACTTTTCATTGTCACAACTTAAGTAAAGGGTTCTACGTTCTACTAGCATCTAGCAGATAAAGACCACGGATGCTGCTAAATATCCAACAATGCATAGGACAAACCCTACGACAAAAAATTATCCGGCGAAGCCCTGTGTTAGACATACAGCAGTACTTAATTGTCACCTATAACTTGGTGCAACCTTCACAGATCTCCAACTTATGTCTCTTATCTCCAATGTATGTCTCTATCCTAACATTTGTCTCATTATAATACAACTATGTTTAGATAGTTATCTTCCCTAATAGTACTGTGAACTCCTGAAAGCAAAGTCAGTTAACCTGCAATGTGACAGCATCTAGCACGGTGCGGATGATCAACAAATGTTTCATGAAAAAGTGAACAGGTGGACAAATGAAAGGTTCTCAATTCAAACTCCAGAGTCTAGTAAGATCTGGCCCAAATGCTGTTCTTCTCCATGAAGGATAATAAGATTTGAGCTGTAGAAACAATGCTGAATTTGACAGCTTTAGAACAGGAGGAAAACATGAGAGATAAATCCGTTGGACTAAACCTGGAGAAGTTAAGAATGATAAAATTAAGATAATGAAGTGAAATAAGGTTTATAACTACTAACAGAAAGAACTGCATTAAATACATTTTAAAGAAAAAATTACCAAGGCTTGGGGACTTGACACTACTACTCAAAATCACCTTTATAGATCCTCTCTTCTGTACATTAAAATTTATCTTTTAGGCCAGTGGCTCATGCCTGTAATCCCAGCACTTTGGGAGGCTGAGGCGGGCAGATCACCTGAGGTTGGGAGTTTGAGACCAGCCTGACCAACATGGAGAAATCCCATCTCTACTAAAAATACAAAATTAGCCAGGCATGGTGGTGCATGCCTGTAATCCCAGCTACTCAGGAGGCTGAGGCAGGAGAATCGCTTGAACTCAGAAGGCGGAGATTGCAGTGAGCCGAGATCGCACCATTTCACTTTACCTTGGGCAACAAGAGCAAAACTCTGTCTAAAAAAAAAAAAAAAAAAAAAAAAAAAAAATTATCTTTTAACAATTTATCTCATGTAACACTTTTATGTAAAGTTTGACAATGTCCTAATATCATGATGTATATCGGCCATTTCCAGAAAGGTAGTAGGATACTGAGGAGCCATCTGTTCATGGAACTTCTTTTTATACCAAAAATATTTTTCATTGGGAAACTGTGAGTTAACATGGCTTTCAAAAGTTTATAAAAAAGTATGCTAATCCAGAATGTTAAGTAGGTTAAAGTGTTTTAAACATCTAGATTCAAAAGGAAGAGATATTTATGTTGAGTATGGCAGCTAAGATTTCCCCCTTTCTTTTAGCAACAGCTATCTCACAGTGTAATGTAATCCAGTTATTTTTTGGCACCATATCAGAAGCAGTTGCATTTCAGGAAGATGAGGTGTCAGTGCTGTAGATTTACCTCTGATAAGCCTTCAATATAAGTCAGACATAAAACCACATAGATTGAAAAGCACATAAAGTGGCTTTAAGAGCAACTTGATAGTCTCAGGAACAACAGTGAAAGAAATGAGTTTTTTCCTAATGAATACTACAAAATACTAAGAAATACTACTGAAGTTACTACAGTGATTTTTTTTTCATAAGGAAAAAACAGAAAAACACTGAAAAGTAAAGGTCTCATTTAACCTTAAAGAAATCACAGCTTCCTGCTAGAGGTACTCATGGTCAGGAGAAATTAAAAATTGACTTATAATTACATTTACACATGTTCCATTCTTCTGCAGCATTCAAAATTTTTAATATGGATACAGATGTAATGTTTATCCTCCTAGTACAAAGCCAAGATTATAGCCAGATGGAAATCAGGTTTATCACCTCCCAACATCTGGCTCCCAACACACTGCCAAAGCAATATCACTTTAAATGTGGACTGAGAACCCAGAGTCCTAGTGCAGGCTCAAATGTAGCCCTGTGGTATGATCTAAAAGCTATATTGGCCGGGTACAGTGGCTCACACCTATAATCCCACCACTTTGGGAGGCCGAGGCAGGTGGATCACCTGAGGTCAGGAGTTTGAGACAAGCCTGGCCAACATGGTGAAACCCCGTCTCTACAAAAATACAAAAAATTAGCCGGGTGTAGTGGCAGTGCCTGTAATCCCAGCTACTTGGGAGGCTGAGGCAGGAGGATTGCTTGAACCTGGGAGGCAGAGGTTGCAATGAGCCGAGATCATGCCACTACACTCCAACCTGGGCAACAAGAGTGAAACCCCGTCTCAAATAAATAAATAAATACATACATACATACATACATAAATACATAAATAAATAAATGCCATATTATTGTCTTCCTGAATAACAGCTACTTTTATAACATAAACAGATCAAGGAGATTTTACCATATGCATTACAATAAAGCACACTTCAAAAGTATAGTCATGAAAGTACATACTTGACCTATATTTTGAAAATTCATGGACAAGTCCTACTTTCCAGAAAGAAAAAGCTCATAAATGTACTACTGTACTAAGCCATAGAGTTTACTGGAAAACCTAGGATGATTACAGAATCATTCTGGCCCTTAACCTAGAAGCCATGCAGAGAAAGTTCCAGTAAAATACCATGCTGACACCACAGGCACCTCTAAAGACAAGTTTCTAGGAAAGTTGGGCATTTGACAGGAAGGGAAAACAAGGTAGGAAAGTACTGTGGATCTTCCCAACTATTAATAGTATCATTTCATTAAAAGTGGACAGTCTCACCCCCTTTTTTTATTGTTGTTCTAGATATATACCTATCACCCCCTTTCTTACACATACACACACTGACATCTTTTAACTGTATTCTCCATTTAATAGTGTTGGACATAGAGGCTGGGTGCAGTGGCTCACACCTATAATTCCAGCACTTTGGGAGGCTGAGGCAGGTGGATCATTTGAGGCCAGGAGTTTGAGACCAGCCTGGCCAACATAGTGAAATCCTGTCTCTACTAAAAATAAAAAAATGTAGCTGGGCATGGTGGTACACTCTTGTAATCCAAGTTACATGGGAGGCTGAGGCAGGAGAATCGCTTGAACCGGGGGTGGGGGCAGAGGTTTCAGTGAGCCGAGATCGCACCACTGCACTCCAGCCTGGGTGACAGAGCAAGACTCCGTCTCAAAAAAAAAAAAAAAAAATTAGCATTGGATGTAGATAATCTTCATATAGCATGAAAATACAATATATGTTTTATAAGTGGTCTTCAAAATGTTCTATCTGTTGAGATAATCTCTTTGGATAATGAGGATCTTACTCCTTGTCCAGCATTTCCATTTTCAAAAGCATCTCATGCACATGAACAGTACGTACTTACCATTCTCAAGTACGACATCCACAGCCACAGTTGTCAGGTCTTTAGTACAAGCAGCCTGAATGTCCTCAGTTGGGGCAATGAATGTGCTGAGTCCAGTCATTTTGTTGACATAAACCATTCTCCCCAGGGCTACATCGAAATGCTGCTGCCAATCCGAGCAACACGTGTTTGACTCTTCAGTTTCAGAACAAGCTCTTGCTTTAGATTCCTCACTTTGAAAACAAATTCCATTTTGGTCACCTGTGGCATCGTCTACCAGATTCATTAACATTCCACTGGGAGAGTCCGGACTTCCTGTGTGTTGTTCTGAAGCTCTGATAAGAACATCTGAATCTTTACTGGTAACTTTAGAATTATCATAGGGCAATACCAAAGGAGTTTCTGGTATCACACAGTTCTCTGTTGTATTGCTGTTAGAATGTGTTTTACTATTTTTATTAAAGGAATTATCCTGTGTGGCAGAATCTGATGTTGGGATGACACCATTCTCTGTTTTTTCATGCTCATTTTTAAATAACATACAAAAATCTTGTGTTAACACACTGCACAACTTGCTCTCTTTCCTACTGGAATCTGAATTTGGAAGTTCATTAAAACGACTCATCATCTCCATTGTTTGAGTTTCTCTTTCGGAACCCTTCCGTCTGGATAATTTAGAGGCTAGTGATTCAGATGACTTCTCAAGGTCCAAAGGTTTTCTATTAAAGAGAGATAACTCCTTCAGGGTCATAGGGCTTTCTCTCAAACTAGGCATCTGTTGTTCTAAACAATCTTCATCCTTGGAGAATGGAAGCTTCTCTGAGTCAAGGATGTGGCTTGCTGGTTGGCAACCACTATCTGAATCACTATGCTTCATAGTAGTGATTTTACAAACATCAGAGTTGTCTAAGCAGTTCTTGTTCTTCAGCAGAATGTCAGGTTCAACTTGAGGGCTGAGATTGGTAGTGACTCCGTTACTTTCCTCTACTTCTGTATCCAGAGGATTTTCAACCTTCCCATATTGCCTCTTAAACTTCTCTAAAGATCCTAGCTGTGAACTCAAGCTTAGCTTCTTACGGACGATTGGTTTGGAGGAACCAATTAATTTATCTGTTTTCCTACTGTCATTTGAAATGTGTCTATACCAGGGGAAAGAGGGGGATGTATCAGATAATATGCAACCTGTTTGTGATTTTTTGCTATCTTGCTGAAAAGTAGAAAACTTTGCATAAGTTGCTGTAGGTTCATTCTCTAGCCCACAACTTATATTTGTTCTGCAAATTTTTTTGTTGGGCAATTGACCAGATTCTCTACTTAAAGTGCCGGCTAAATCTTTGAGGTCTAGAGTTTCAACTGAATGACGTGTTCTATTTCCAAATGTTTCTTGGGCACGTGTGGGACCAGGTCTAACATAATTTTTAAATGCATGTTCTGGTTCAATTGATTTAGTTTTCTCATTTTGTACTATATGAGTTATAAAGCCAGTGGAACATAATTTAACTCGTCCGTAACTAAAAACATTTCCTCTTTCACAATTGCTAGGTTCTTTTTTTTTCTCCTTCTCTGTATGAGCACTATGTACTCCCAATAATGTTGTCGCAAAAGGCAGAGGCTGGCATCCCACTTCAGTAGCATCTTTAAATCTCTCTGGTTGATTCTGAATTCTATTATTTTTCATGACGTTGGCAGCCATGTCATTAACAGTAGTACTTTCTTTCCATATTTCTAGATCCTCCCCACTCTCTTCAAAGTGACATGGTGTCTGAAAAGGGCTTAAAAACATTTCTGAACTAGTTCCACATGGGTTTTCTAAAGAGCTATGTTCCAGGCAAGATTTTTTATGTTTCTCATTTTCTCCTGCTTCTGATGCTACAATTGTCTCTTGTTCTAACATCTTGGATTCTGAGCAAGAGCTGTCTTTGTTTTGTAAAGATGGCTCTGTCATTTTGCTATGGCCTGGACCACCTGATTCATAAATGTATAAAAATGCATCATTTGTATTTTTTCTGATAGCTTCTAAATCCCTAGAATTCTGTGTGCTTATGTTTTCTGCAGTAGCTTTTCTTTTCACAGATTTTGATTGCAAATTAAACATCTCATAGGAATCTAAAATATTATTACATGCTTCCTGGAAACTGCCCTGGTTACTCCTCTCATAGGAAGTCACACGCTTCTGAAGAGTAGCATCAAATAAATTAAAACCATTATCTTCACTAAATTCCTTAATATCCTCACCTGATAATTCCACAAATAATTTTTCTTGCTTTAAAAACATTTTCACTCCTTCCTGAATGCAAAACAAGAGAGTGTCCCAGTTCTGAAACTCAATCAGAGTTTTGGCTGGCTCCATGCACACATCATACTCACAGAATTGGCACTGCACATTAATTACATATATGCCATAGAGTTCTGGGGTAGACCGGTGCCGAAGACTTGAACTCATTTGCCTACTGGTGGAACCGTTCTTTGGCTTGCATATAATACTCTCTTTCCTTAATAAAAAGTCAATGAGTTTATGTAGCTTTGTCCTTAAAACCAGTCTTTTGTTCACAAACAAAAACTGCATATTCTTATTGTAATGTGCTTCAGAGCTGATATAGCCACTAAGCTCAAACTGTTTATATTTAAAACTGATTTCTCTCAGCTTTTGGGACTTTCCCAATCCATAAATTTGACAAAATCGGGAACATACATCTTTGGTTTTAGGGAGTTGAAGAACCATGGAACCAGAAACATCATTTCTCAAAGAGAAAGAGATGGAAGGGTGCATAAGTGAGAGAGCTTCTATCCTCTGCCTAACCTTCTCAAACTCCAGTCTAGGGTCCATGCATTTCCTCCTTACAGGCAGCTGGTAAAATAGGTTATACACTGTTACAGTGGTCCCACCGCTTGGTCTAGTCACATCAGCTTCACAAGCTTTCAGGGCTTTTCCACTCTGAAACAGTTTCACAAAAGTTTTCATTGTCCTGTTTTTCTTGGACGAAATTTCCACAGCGCTGGCCATGTCGGCAATATTTGCCAAGGCCTCTCCTCGGAAACCATAAAACCTTGGATTCTCCAAGTCCTGTACCGAGTGGCATTTACTGGTGAAATAACGATTTCCCACTTTCTCTACATCATCACTCCCCATCCCAAATCCATTGTCTATCACTTGAACTTGGAAGGTTTCCATATTCACCCTGACAGCCACACATTTTGCTTCAGCATCAATACTGTTGAGGGCGAGTTCCTCAACACATTGGCCCAAGGAGCTTATGGCCAAACCAGAACGCAATTTGGCTTGTACTTCAACTGACAAGCACTTGATCATGGTAGGTAGAAAGATGGTGAGAATGCCAAGCAATGGTTTCCTTCTCTGACTGGAAATAATTGCCTATAGGAGAAAAAAACCACACACACACATAATCAAAGCTTCAGCATTACACATTTCTTTCAAGCATTATGAAGAAATAGCATTTGAGGCAAATGAAATCGCTCTTATTAAACCAAATTGTGAAACAAAGCAAAACAAAGTTATACCACTGATCTCTAGGCACAGCTCATGCTTGGTGCAATGAATTCACATCCAAAGAAACATTCATAATTTCATAATTTTCAATGCTCCTTTCTAAATCCCACATGTCCTAAAGTGAAATCATAATTACACTTGAAGTTGACCGGTAAAGACAGTATTAGAAATTCTAACCACTTCACCAAAAACAGATGCTTAAATTAAATACAGCTAAGGAACATTAGCTAGAAATTATTCACGACAAAAATGTCCAAGCTAGTTTCATAACATTTATACATTACACAATAACCATGACTTTTAGAAAAGTACTTATAATGAATTGCTAAGACATTGCAATAAGGTGAAGCAACAGGAAGAAATTTTAAGAATCAAATTGTATCAAAGAGAAATTGGGGGCATTAAGAGATTATTATTATTATGGTTAAGTATAGTCACCTCAGGGAAAGAGGTTGGGAATGGGAAAAGATAAAGCAGGAAAATTCCTTTTCATATAAACCTTTCTTTGCCATTCGATTGTTAAATCCTGTTCATGTATTACTCATGTTTTTAGAAGGTCGTTATTATTCTTTTTTGAAACAGGGTCTTGCTCTGCCACTCAGGCTGGAGTGCAATGCCACAATCTCGGCACTGCAGCCTGCATCTCCTGGGCTCAAGCAATCCTCCAGCCTCAGCCTCTCAAGTAGCTGGGATTACAGGCGCGCACCACCACGCCTGGCTAATTTTTGTCTTTTATGTAGAGATGGGGTTTCACCATGTTGACCAGCCTGGTCTCAAACTCCTGAACTCAAGTGATCCTCCCGCCTTGGCCTCCCAAAGTGCTGGGATTACAGGTGTGAGCCACCGCGCCCGGCCAGACGGTCATTATTATTAATATTCTTTTGGTCTTTACAGACGGGCATAAACTACCTTGGTAATAATAATGATGGCATGGGGCTGCCTGAATTTGATTTTAAGTTTTCCTGCAAGTAAAAGCACAAAAAAAAAAAACATTTAAAAAACCCAAACCCTAAGATTCTAGTGCCATTAAAGGTCTCCCCCTCTTCTCCATCAGTGAAAGCCGCGTTGTGGAGCCCCCTGTAGGCAGTGAGGTTGGTTTTCCGAACCCGGGAAAATCAGGGCTCTAACTGCAGAACTTCTGCTGCTTTCGAAGCTAATGCACTTCGCAGCCGGCAGCAAGTGAGGGGCAAACGTTTAACAAGTATTCCGATTAATGTAAACCCAACGATTTCCTGATGACGCCTGCGCCTGGGACGGACGCAACGCACTGGCCTGGATCCAGGGCCCAGGGGCCTGGGAGCGCCGCGCGGGCCGCGTCCAGGCAGCGCCACCTTCCCGCCAGGCCCAGCCCCTCCCCAGCCAGCCCCGTCCTTGTCCCCAAACCGGGCCCGCCCTGCCGCCAGGCCGCCGGGCCTCCGGGGTCCTCGCACATCCGGCTCCGAAAGCTGCGCGCAGCCATCGTCAGGCCCTTCTGGTGTTAGAAGAGCCCCCGGCAACATCTTTTCGTCGCGTGCTTCCCCCAGAGTCACCTTGAGTCCAGCTTAACCAATTCTCGGACACCAACCGCCTAGGACGCCGACGCGCGCACCTTGGGTCTTGAGGCTCGTGCACGTGCGAGTCCACGAGCATGCGCTTCGGAGGGGCGCGCCAGGCCACGACACACCAGTGCGCATGCGCCTCAGGTGTTCTAGCCAAGGATCCGCATCCCAGGGTTCAGTGAACGGGTACCTACAGTCTCAATCCTTATCCCCTTTTGGCATGGTGTGAAAGACTATGTCGTAACTTTTACTTTTGTTTTTATGTTTGTTTGTTTCTTTTCCCGTGTGTTCCCTTTCCTTTTTTCTCATTTTCACCTTTGCTCTTAACTACCGTTTAATTCAATATATATTTTATGTTTGCTTATTGTCTTCTCTCCCTAGAATGTAAGCTATGTGAAAGTAAAGAGTTTATATATTTTGTTTACTGCTGTATCCCAGTTACCAAGAGCAGTGCCTGGCTTATGGTAGGCACTGAATGAATGAATAATTCCAGAGGCTTCCATCTTAGAATTATAGCATTTGGAGCTGGAAAAGGCTGAGAAACTGTCTAACTCAACTCTTTTTTTTTTTTTTTTTGAGACGGAGGCTGTTGCCCAGGCTGGAGTTCAATGGCGTGATCTCAGCTCACGGCAACCTCCACCTCCCGGGTTCAAGAGATTCTCGTGCCTCAGCCTCCCGAGTAGCTGGGATTACAGGCATGCGCCACCACGCTCGGCTAATTTTGTATTTTTTGTAGAGACGGGGATTTCTCCATGTCGGTCAGGCTGGTCTTGAACTCCCGACCTCAGGTGATCTGCCCGCCTCGGCCTCCCAAAGTGTTGGGATTACAGGTGTGAGCCACCGCACCCGGCCTTTGCTCTACTCTTAATTTACAGACGACAACACCAAGACTGTCTTCACTGACTTGAATCTCCCCAATGCCACCACAGCTTCTTTTATAACTAAAGGAGAGCAGAACTCTGAGAATGCTGTGAGAATAAAGTGTTTTGAAATTGTTCACCAGTCCTTAGTTTTTGCTTTCTATCTCATTTTCATTGAGAATTTATTTAAAGTGGAATTTATAACAAATTTGTCAGACCTGGTAAGCATTTGACATATACTAGTTTAGTGACTAACCAAACCCAACCAACCAGTCTTCTAGGGCTGATTAAGCAAAATCCTGATAACTGTTTATGATTATTACTATAGCTAGGGCTGCCATAACAAAATACCTCAGACTGAGTAACTTAAGCAGCAGCAGTCTATTTCCTCTCAGGTCTAGAGACTAGAAGTCTGAGATCAAGGTGTTGGCAACAACGATTTCTTCTGAGGCCTCTCCTTGGCTTGTAGATGGCCATTTTCACAGGGTCTTTCATTTTTGCACACGTGTGTCTATGTCCAATATGTTCTCTTATAAGAACACCAGTCAGACTGGAGTAGGGCCCACCCTCACAGCCTCATTCAACCTTAATTACCTCTTTAAAGGCTCTGTGTCCCAATACAGTCACTTTCTGAGGTACTGGGGACTGGGACTTTAACATATGAATTTGGTGGGACACAGTTCAGCCCGTAACATAACTTTATGTGAATTCCTTACCCAGAGAAAAGAAACAACAGCAGAAGTAATTCATCCAAACATCATATGAACAGAGCTAACAAATTGAACTTGTGGTATTTGTTCTTATTAGGCATGTAATTTCTTGAAGAACATTTCATAGAAACCATTTAAAGAAATGACTAAGTAACATAACTTTTTTTCTTTCAGACTTCTTTAAATTACCTCAAAATCCTCTTCCCACAAATGTTTACTGAATAAATACTTCTTATTTCGCCCAAAAGGAAGTTCACTGAAGATTTTTAAAAAGTACTCTAAGCAGAAGGTTCTAATGTTTTTATTGATTAGATTTGTGTACAGTAATAATCCTTCCATCATAGAGGTAATATATAATAACATTCAAATATCTGACATTAAAATAACTTATTGACTAATGCTAATATTAACACACAATAGTTCTATCTCTATTAACAATAAAAACCAAACCAAATCAACCAAAAACAAAACTTAAATTCAGGCCATTATTTTACAATTTGGAAGTCTGAGTAATCCAACTTTAAGATGACTTTCTCATTGTTGAAGTTTGCTTTGTCGATGTGTGATTTGGGACTTCCTCTTGTTTCAAGCCATTCCTGCATATGACGCACCTTGGAGATGGGACCTTGCAATTGTCCTTGCACTGTGCCCCGGTCAGTGTTCTGGACCCAGCCTACCAATCCCAGCTTTTTACCCTCAGCCTAAGGGGGGGAAAAAAGAGAGAGAGATCCAGTGAGATTGAGGAAAACAAGGTAAGACTACAATTTGGCCTATAATCAAACCACTGAAACTAATTTGATATTGCCCAGAACAGTCAAAAGAAAGACAGCAAGAAGGAGCTCATTGCTTATCTTCACATGAAGTGTTGGCCACTTGACTCCATGTCTTTCTTCTACCCTATAAAACTCAGGCACTAGAATTTTTCAGTGTGAAGTCAATTTGGTTAAGTACCAAAGACTTAAGTCCAAAACAGATGCTTTTGAAATGATCCCCTAAGGCTGATTGTTTTTAGAATACTGGACTGCATCTTGCTCATTTTCCCTTCCCCCTAATCAAGAATCTATTGGGTATGTTAAATGGAAAAAGCATGAAGTTCTTTGATCCTTCCCTTTGCCGTTAACCAGGACCACACCTAAAATCCAGATGAATTTGTGTTCGTTATATCTTTAAAGATCATTAGAAAGTATTTCACAATTTCCTGAGCAACTCATCCCATTGTTCTTACTGTAGTAAAACTGTCTAACCCAATATATTTATGTTGTAGCCAAAGCCCACTTTGTTGTCTTCCTAGAAAAGGAAAGCAGCTGGTGATCAGCCTCTCAACAGCAAACCATGAGACTACATAACTATCAGGTTTTCACTTGACTTTCTTCTCTTCTGTCTAAATAATCACAATGCCTTTAGGCTTATGAAAAGCATCTAATCATTATAGTGGCTTATCCTTTTTAATGTTCTTTCCTTTTATTAAACTGGCAAGACTGAATGTTTAGGAAAGGTAGCAATGTTTTGGAGGTAATTTTATTTTTGTATAAATTTATGATTAGAATATTAAGTCACTGATTGTTAATCTATCTAAATAGAAGGTGTTGGATTACAAAAGAAAATGGGAGTTAACATGATTGCATGTCAAAATGTGGGAAATTGCTGGAGTTGGCCAAAGAAAACGTTATGCATAGCAAAAAAATGTTTGATGAGGAATGTAAATATCCATCAAATCAAAGACATGTTCAAAGCAAAGACATGTTTGCTTAATGAACAAAACAGACTCCAACCAAATAAATAACCATTTGAGGGATACAAAGGAAATTAAAGAATGAAGAAAAATAGAAGATGCCTACCCGATGCACTGCTAAGTGCCAAAGAAGATACCATAAAAGAAGAATGCTGAGAATGAATTTTGAGTAAGACTCCACATCCAACTGACTTGGTATAACAACTGCCCTCTTCTGCTTCAAATTAACCCATGGGAGCTGACTATCTCCAGTTCTTAAGAGATATCTTATATGTATGGTAAATAGCTGTAAGAATGTGCAGTTTTAAACAGGAGGTTTAACAGTCAAATAAATCTTTAAAAATTTGCAGTGTGATTTATCTGAACTCTTTTTTTTTTGAGACGGAGTCTCACTCTGTCGCCCCTGTTGGAGTGCAGTGGCACCATCTCAGCTCACTGCAAGCTCCGCCTCACGGGTTCATGCCATTCTCCTGCCTCAGCCTCCCAAGTAGCTGGGACCACAGGTTCCCGCAACCACTCCCAGCTAATTTTTTTGTATTTTTAGTAGAGATGGGGTTGCACTGTGTTAGCCAGGATGGTCTCAATCTCCTGACCTCGTGATCCGCCCATCTTGGCCTCCCAAAGTGCTGGGATTACAGGCGTGAGCCACTGCACCTGGCCTTACCTGAACTCTTGAGAGTTGAACAGAATGCTACAAAATTTGACCAGTGTTGAGAATGGGTGTTTCCTACTGGTTTCATTTGTGTGCTCAACTCTGTTCTTATTTTTTTAACGATAGCATAATGTTATTGACTTATGTTCAGTTTTGAATATCTATTGCACAAGTAAACAGGGTTTTTCTCCCCTAAGAAAATTCCAAAAAGCGAATTCTACCTCATAACCATATTTTTGCTTAAACAATCATCTGACAACATTTTAAGGAATATAATCACCAACTCTAGTTGCAATCTAAAAAGAAACTCTCTTCAAATCAATAACCAAGATTTCCACCTTAGGATACTAGAAAAAGAAGAGCAAACTAAATTCAAAATCAGCAGAAAGAAAGAAAGAAAGAAAGATTAGAGCAGAAATTAATGGAAAGCAGACGAATAGAGAAAATCAATAAAACAAAAGTTGCTTCTTTGACAAGATCAACAAAATTGACAACCTTTAGCTAGACTGATAAAGAAAAAAGGATGAAAGCCTCAAATTACTAAAATCAGAAATAAAAGAGGAGACATTACCACCAACCTTACAAAGATAAAAAGGATATAAGGGAATTCTATGAACAATTACATGCCAAAAAATTAGATTAACTTGGATGAAAAGAAACCTAATAACCTAGAAAGACAAACAACCAAAACTGAATCAAGAAGAAATAGAAAGTGTGAATAGACCTATACCAAGTAAAGAGATGGAATTTTTAATCAAAAACCTTCCCTCAGAGAAAAAGCCCAGGACCAGATGGCTTCATGGGTAAATTCTACCAAATGTTTAAAAAACAATCCTTTACCAACCCTTCACAAGCTCTTCCAAAAAATAGAAGATCCAAACCAAGAATTAAGGGTTAAAAAAAAATAAGAGGAAACACTTCCCAACACATGCTATTAAGCCAGCATTATCCTTATACTAAAACCAAAGCTAAAAAATAAAAATGAAAAATAAAGAGAAAAAAAAAAACCCAATGTAAAAGAAAAAACAAAGAAACTCCAAAACAACAAAGCCGTCACAAGAAAAACACCACCAAAAAACCATAGACCAATATCTCTTGTGAACAGAGATGCAAAAATCCTCAGCAAAATACTAGTGAACCAAATCAGGCAACATCTAAAAAGAATTGTACACCATGACAAATTAGGATTTCTTTCAAGGTTGCTTCAATATGCAAGAAGTAATCAACTTAATATGCCATATTAATAAAACAAAAGCTACATGATAATCTCAATAGATGGCAAAAAAGCATTTGACAAAAACTAATACCTCTTTTTTGATCAAAACACTCAACAAACTAGGAACAGAAGGAAACTTCCTCAACCTGATAAAGGGAATCTGTGAAAAACCCACTGCTAACATCATACTTAATGGTGAAAGATTGAAAACCTTCCCACTAAGATCAGGAACAAGACAAGGATGTCTGCTACTACCACTCTACTCAATATTATACTTGAGGGTCTATCCATAGCTGGAAAAAGAAAAGGCATTCAGATTGGAAAGGAAAAAGCAAAACTACCTCTACTTGCAGATGACATATCTTGTATACAAAAAGTCCTAAGGAACATACACAGGCACACACTAGAGCTAATTAACAGTCTCACAAGGTTGTAGGATATAAAATTAATATACAAAAATCGATTGTATTTCTATACACTAGCAATGAAAAACTGAAAATGAAGTTAGGAAACAATTCCATTTATAATAGCATCAAAAAGATAAAAGGTCTAGGAATAAATTTAACAAAAGAACTGCAAGACATATACGGAAAGTTACAAAACATTCTTGAAAGAAATTAAAGACTAAGTAAATGGAAAGACATCCCTTATTGATGTATTGGAAGACTTAATATTGTTAAGGTGATACTACTGCTCAGTTGATCTACAGATTCAACTCAATCTCTATCAAAATCCCACTGCTTTTGCAGAAATCGAAAAACTGATACTAAAATTTACATGGAAACATAAGGGACCCAGAATAGCTAGAAATAATCTTGAAAAGGAAAAACAAAGTTGAAAAATTCACACTTCCCAATTTCAAAATTTACTACAAAGCTGCAGTAACTGAGACAGTGTGATATTGGCATAAGGATAGTGGCTTAGACCAGTTCGTGTTGCTATAAAGAACTACCTGAGGGCCGGGCATGGTAGCTCACACCTGAAATCCCAGCACTTTGGGAGGCTGAGGTGGGGTGATCATGAGGTCAGGAGTTCAAGACCAGCCTGGCCAAGATGGTGAAGCCCCATCTATTAAAAATACAAAAGTTAAAGGCCGGGCGCGGTGGCTCAAGCCTGTAATCCCAGCACTTTGGGAGGCCGAGACGGGCGGATCACAAGGTCAGGAGATCGAGACCATCCTGGC